CAGATATAAGGGGAGTGGGCTAAGGGTTTATTTGTTTGTTTCTTAGGATTCTCCTCACACTAAATTTCAGTCTGGGAAAGGCTGCATTCAGTTTCCCTTTCCTGCCACATTATATGTGGAAGGAACTCTGTGTGTGTGTACCCATGTGTATGTGTGTGCACGTGTGCACAAGTACACACACATGTGTGCACAGGGAAGGGAGTACTTGGGTAGTGGATGCATGTGCAAGGTCTGCTATGACAGAGAACTACAAGCTGAGTGACTTAAGCATCAAAAATCCATTCTCCCTTGGTTTTGGAGGCTGTAAATCTGAGATCAAGATGGTGTGATTTGGTTGTCTTGAGGCCTCTCTCCTGGGCTTGCATGTGGCTGTCACACTGGGGTCCTCATGTGGACGTGCCTCAGTCTCTGCAGTTACCCCCTTTCTTTAAGGGCACCAGTCACACAAATGGACTCACTTTGATTTAGTCACCTCTTTAGGTTTGGAGGGCTAACATCGGTTTATGAATTGCCAAGGGAGGCCAGCAAAACATCTTGGTCTGAAACTGTGAGAAAATAGGGAGAATCTCTGATTTCATGGTACCCAAAAGGTCACAGTGATACTAGTGTGAAGGGGTGGAGTCAGGTTTTAATGGCTGCTTCTGTACAAGGCATTATCAGTGAGGAGAAGCTGGTCAGAAGTTAGTCCTAGCTCTGTCCTTCAGAGGGAGCTTACGTCACTGTCTTTTATGATGTTGAAAGGCATGGTCATCTGTGGACAAGTCAGGGCATTTCCCTTCTGCCCCCTTCTCTCCCACTGGGATAATCAGGCTTGCATGCTGGCAAGTGAAGTGTGAAAGTGCTGCCCTGGATGTGTCTCACTGGCCACACCAGCGTGGGGAATTGAGTCACCTCAGAGGCCCCTTGATTTCAGGAAGTCGCCTTTGTTTTTGTCTTCTGCCAGCACATCCCCATTGCTTTAGGAAGGGGACAGCAGTTTGGAAACAAATATGTTTTACGATAATAACTTTGTTGCCAAAAATATATACCAGAGATCTCGAAAGCAAAGCATGACCAGTGCTGCCGAGAGGGAGGCTGGCGAACTTTGGGAATGGACCTCGCCATCCCAGTGGACTTTAATCATGTGCTGGCTTGCATTTTGGCTGTGTAAACTCACAGAGGGGAAAAAGCCACTAAGTGATTTAATCCCTTTTTAAAATTACATTTTAAATTTTATTTGTGTGTGTGTGCATATGTGCTGCCGTGCATATGTCAGCTGTCTCCTCTCGCCATATGACTCCGGGATGAACTTCAGTCCTCAGGCTTGGCAGCAGGTACCATTACCCACTGAGCCATCTCATTGGCCCAAGTGTCTTAATCTGAACGTCACTTTATCTCTATGTGAATGAAAACATATACAGCTCTATGTGAACTCTTAGGAAATGGTTTTATTCACACATTAGTGCAAGCCCTGTACCCCTCCCCCGTTTTATTGAGACAAACTCTCGGTTATTCCAGGCTGGCCTCAAATTCACAATATAATTGAGAATGACCATAAACTTCCGAATCCTGTACCTCACCTCCTGAGTGCTGGGATTAGAGACTTGTGTCATCATACCCTCCACTACATCTGATTTTATTCAGTGCTGGGATTTGAAACCAGGGCTTGCTTCATGTGTGCTAGGCAAGCACTTTACCAACTAAGCTACGTACCTAACCCTGTAGAGTTTTCATCAGACAGCTGTCAGTGACCAGACAACTGGAGGAGCCCATGTGAGCATGCATGATAGACCGCACTCTCTCTGTCCCAGTGCACTTGGTCTCACTTGGTCCTGCTGTGGTCTTCTGAGGTCTGAGCCATCCTCATCTTCAGAAGGGACTGAGAACTTTCTGAGCTACTTTCTAGAGTCTTATGAACTTCTCTCCTTCCAGACACAAATGTGTCAGTTGGGATGAAATAGCTACACCAGGAGGCCCTAGATAATCACCCTCATGTAGACAGAGGGCATCTTTCTTTGCAGGACTTTATCATAGTTTAGATGTTTAGATTCATTCTCTCTCTCTCTCTCTCTCTCTCTCTCTCTCTCTCTCTCTCTCTCCTCTGTGTGTGTAAAGCTGGGTGTTCCTTTTGGGATAGTTTGATTGATGTATACACTAGAAACATCTTTAATAATTTAATGTCTGCTTCAAAGGTATTTACACCAAAAAAAGGACATTGCTTTTCACTTATTCATTACAGATCTGTCAGAGCAGGGGTTTGGTGTGTGTGTGTTTCCCTGAATGACGGTGCCATGGTAATACTAAGTTTTATTCCAGATTCAGGGTATTTTAAAGGATTAAGCCTTTTAACTAATGTTATCATCTTATTTAAATTGATCAAATTGCTATTTCAGTATCATAATCTTGCATCTTTTTAAGCTGTGCTAGGCAGCTGTGGTTTTATTTGATGACTACTAATTAGCCATGCTGGGGGAGTCTAATGGAGATAATGAGATGAGAGCATAGTGCTGATGGCTGCTGATGGTGATAATGGCAGGGAACTGAGGGATCTGGGAGCTGGATGCTAAGAGATTAGGGAACACGCAGCCTTCTGTAAAGAGGGAAAAATAAAAGTTTAGGACTTGGTCAAAGAAAAAGGTTAAGACTAAGGGGAGGAAAAATAAGAATATAAAATCTAAAAACAAGAAATCATGTCCTCATTTTACAGTTAATCATTAGTTATGAATCCAAATGTCAGGAAGATAGAGTTTTCTTCCACTTACATGTAATTATCTTAATAGACTTTAACAATCACTCAGAGAAGCAAGGACTGTATTTACATTCCTAAACAATAAATTATGAGCTTTTTCTTTAATTTTTTTATGAATATATTGTCTAGATAGTCCCCTCCCCATGTAATGAGAATTGTACTGAGGCTGTCAGGCCAGGAAGTTGTCCGCAAGGAAGAAGTGGTAGAGGGCTGTCCTTGACCTTGGGGGATAGGGTTGTTGGTGCGGTGAGGCAATGTCAGCACAGGGTACAGGCAGGCTGAAAAAACAGCAAGATGTCCCAGGCAATGCAATCTCATAAGCATTGCATGTGAAAATAGTTTCTTAGCCATTGGTGTGTAATTACCCCATTGACCGAGAAAGTTGGAAAGATCCCGGCTCTTTTCAGTTGTGAGCGCTGTAGTGTCTTTGTGCAATACTTCCCAGCTCTGCACAGTCCTTACAACGTCCACCCTCTAGATCAGCGGGCTCTTGTAAAGGCACAGAAATGCTTGGTTTTTAAGGTTGCTAATTATTTAAGCAGTTGCAACCAGTGAGACAAGGTGCAGATGTCACTGTCCTTGGCTACTAGGACACATGAGTATCCCATTAAAGTGGGAGGGGGCGGAGGGATACAGGCTCAGTTTGTGATTTTTGCTTAAGGGCTTTGGGCCAGACTTCCTGGGCTCCACACTCACCCAGCTTCGTCTCCTGCTACATGATGTTGTGGGCACTGAGTGGGTCAGTATTTTTATTATTCATATGACAGGGACAAGAAATGTACCACATGGGACTTCTGTGCTGGCTTTTACACTAGTAAGTGCTGTCTGACTCTGTAGTTCCTGTTGGGAGGCATTGCTGACTTGAGCTCATGTGTTCTAAACTGAGTGTGGAACACACTCATCGTCCTTAGTATCTTTGAGCCCTGTTTCTAACTTTTATCATGGTTTTCATAATGTACAAGTTTTCTATCTCTGATTCATTTTATTTGTAAACATTTTATTCTTTTTAATGCTTTTATACATGGAATTGTTTTGGTAATTTCCTCTCACAGTTGTTTAGTATTAATATATAGAAACAATAATTTTCACATGTGCTGTATCCTCTGTTTTTGATTTGTTGGTGTTGTTGTCGTCTTGTTTTATGTTTTTTTGAGTCAGGTCTTGCTATATAGCCCTGGATGGCCTGGAACCTGTTATGTAGGTCCAGCTGGCCTGAAACTTTTAGAGACCCCCTGCCTCTACTTCCTAGGTACAGGGGTTATAGGCACAGGCCACCACGTTAGCTCTCTGTTGTTTTGAAGACAGTGTTGTTTTCTTCTTTCCAAATGCCTCCTCCTGTCTTCAAGGCTGTGTGCCTCAGTGACTCACTCTGTTTGTTTGCTTTGGAGATAGGTAAGATGAGGGTGTGGCGAGGACGTGGAAGCTGCTATGGAGACTGGAATTTTGTTCATCCCGAGGCACTGGCTCCACATCTTCCCCTGCTCCACTTTCTTCCTGGTGTTTGCCTCCTATGGATTTCCTCCTGGGTGGAACACTTAAGGCAGCTAAAGCTGTGTGCTGATATTTGACCTGCGTCTTTGTGCTGAGTCTGCATAATGACACCGGCTGTAGCTTTTCCAGTCCCTAAAGAACACTGCATTTTTTAAAATCTTTTTTTTAACTACACATTTAATATCTTATAACCAAACCTGAAGTAGAAAAACAGACTTTTGATAGGTATTGGGCATTACTAGCAGTATGCACGATTAATTTAAGTTTATAAAATTTTAAATTTTGTATCTAGGGATAAATTATCAACTCTGAGGCATTATATGGAAAGCTATCCATGTTCCATATTAGAAAGTTCAGCTTATTACTTTCCCTGTAGGTTGGGTTGACAATCCCCACAGAATGAAGGCTCTGATCTGACTTGCACCTCTGGTTCAGCCATTATAAAAACAGACATTTCCCCAGGACCCGGATGTTTGATTTCTTGTTTGCCATGTGGGTTATGCGCTGCAATCATAACTTAGTTCAGATTTTGGCTCCTCCATCAGGACCAAGCCAGGTTCTCCTCTATGCCTTAGTTTTCTTACATGTAAATTGGAATAATCTCAGACTTACAGGCTCCTCCAGTGGAGATTTTAAGGGCAGCTGCTCTGTGAAGGTAGACAGTGGGTACCCTATGGACCAGTGCAGCTGTGATAGACTGCGCATGCTCTGTAGTCTGTGATGGAGGATCTCTGTCACACTGCCACACTTCTTTTACCCACTGTCTCTTTTGCTTTGTAAGAGGCCGGCAGAAATAGTTGACGAGGAAGAAGATGGAGAGAAAACAAACAAAGATGCCAAACAGAAAGAAGACTTTTCAGCAATGAATGGTGAAACTGAAGCTGGAGGGGATAGCGGGGCTGCTGATGGCCCTGAACAAGAGGATGGAATCCCAGACCGTGGAGAGAAGAAGGCAGCAAGTCCCTCTCGGGTAAACGGTGCCACTGATGAAGAGAATGGTGAAGAGCTGGACCAGGTTACTGAGGAGCTTCAACCAGCCGTGGATGAGGAAGGAAAGGCTGAAGGAGACAGTGGTGGACACGAAGAGGTACTTTTAGAATTCTGGCTTCCTTGTACATAAATAGTTGTGCACACATGCTTGCACACACACTAACATGCTTAGGAAATTAGCCAAATACTTAGATCTGCAGCAAAACTCCTTATGGTTGTATAAGAAACACTGAGCACCATTTAATTAATTTCAGTCTTTACTTATTCTACTCGATAGTTATCAAGTACTGCCATGTATATGTGTTTCTTATTCTGCCCTCTGTATACCCATCCATGTACCATTCCTCTCCCCACCTCCTATCCACTCACCAATCCTGCCCATTCCTTCATTGCATCCGTCTATCCATTCACTTGCAACCCATCCACCACCTACCCACCCACCAAGCTAAGACCAGAGAAGAACAAACGAGAAAATGGTATTTAGCTCAGTGAGACCTTGAACTAATATAAAGAACACCATGACCATTACCAGGACTTCTTTGTTCTTTACAGAAATTAAAGTCTAGTCGTTTAGCCCACATTAAATAGATTAATCAACCATCCCGCATATTGAGTACTGGTTTGCTTACTGTAGTACAGCACGAGAGAAAGTTTAACAGCAGAGTTGTGCAAAGTGTTTTCATGGCCAAGCTTTGACAGTCAGCCTGAAAACTACCTGTATTCTACTGTACACTTCTACACAGCATCTTTGCCACCTGAAGGAAAACCCTTGGCGTACCTCACATTTCATCTTTACTCGAGGTGAGAGTTTCACAGTGTGCCTGTGTAGGACATGCAGAACACAGTTCCTCAGAAGGAGCTCAGCACAGTCCTTCTGGCTGTGAATAAAGCAACAATAGTGGGGTTCACAAAGCTCTCTGATGTTTAGTCTCTGATGAAAGCTTGCAACACGAAATCAAAGTGTTGTTCTACACGGGGCTCGGTAGGAATCTTCCAGGGGTTTAGCTAAATTCACTGTGTGACCTAGTTAGACTTGACAAGATGCATGGTTTGTGAAAATCTTCCTGTAATTTTCAACAACATAGAATAAGGTCAGAGGGCACTATGTTAAGTGAAACAAACCTGACACAAATACTGTATGGGCTCCTGTGTATAAAAAGATTAATTTATAGAAGCAGAGGGTAGAATGAAGGTAACTGGGAACTACGGGTTGGGTCTGGGGAGATGTTGGCTACAGAGCAGAACATTTCCACTCTGAGGAATAAGTTCTGGAGCTGTGTTGTCCAGCACAGTGAGTATTCCTAACAATGTGTGCTTATACTAGAGGAGTGTTCCTAGTCCTACAGACAGAGAAGAACTGTGAGATAATGCAGAGGTTAATGAGTTCAAGTTAGCTTTTCCATAATGCACATGTATTTTAGAACATTATATGTTATGTCATAAACATATATTTTTCAATTAAATAAATCAATTTAAAAACTAAAGTAAAAGATAGACTTTTGATAGGAATTGGGCATTACTTAAGTTCAGAGTTATATAACTTGGCAAGGACCTGAAGCATGTTTGTCTATGATATGTTATATGGTGAATCCAATTCTTGGTTGCTCAGGTAAGTGGCTCATTGGAGACTTTAAGGACCAATCAAATGTCCAAGAAGGAGTAATTACTCAGAGAAGATGGAATCTTACTTGATTGTCTCCTCTCTTGCAATGATTATATATGTTATCTTCATTTGCCTTCATGCATTAATATATATATGTATACTTTAAGAATACCAAGTATATGAACATCTAAACATATATGTATTGTAGAAGTTAACAATTTACTTTTGTAAAATGATTATTTACTTACAATGACTAAAAATTCAGTTTGCATGTAACATTTTGTCATATGTAACAGTTCTTATATAATATAACAAATAAAAATAGCAAGAAGCAGATGACAATTACACAATAGCAACTGAGACGGCAGAAAGCAACAGGAAATGGGGCCAAATACACAATAGCAACTGCCATCTATTAAGACTATGAGTTTATACTTTATGTATGATTCCATTTAGATACTTCATGAGGAAGCAATGTGAAATAAAATGATGACCTGGAAACATATGTACACAAACATATATAGGTACATACCTAAATACATATAAATGAATATATACACACAAGCATATACAGGCATACATTCATATATACATATACACATATTCACTGGCATATGTACTTTCATAGATATAAGCACTTTTGCATATACACACATATGTATACATGCACACACATATACATATACACATCTATATATACACATGCAGTCATATTTATATATATCAACACATGCATGCCTGCACACACACACATATATATATACACATATATACTTGCATGCTCACATTCATATATATTCATACATACAAGAATGCATACACACATGTACACATACATGCATACATATGTATACAGAGACATACATGCACACATATATGCATACATGCATATACACATATGTATTTCTTTTCTTTTTTTTTTTAGTATAAATCATGCCTATGGGGTTTAGTGATCTGGAGCTGTTCTTATCCCTAAGACTCGGGGACCTTGTGAGGCTGTGAAACCTCCAGAATTTCATGGGTTATAATTTGAAAACTAGCCAGTTCTCATCTTACACCTTGACAGCAGTCTAATGGGTAGATTAATTATGAATGAGATAAATGTCATTGATAACAGGAGATGTTCAAGGGACAATGGTTATTCCTGGAGAAAAGTTGCCTCTGTGCTTTGGTTTTATATCCTGCTCTTACCTACGGGACACTGATAGTCTCTGTCACTTGACATCATACTGGGAACCTGCAGATTCTGGTGGACGAGGACCACAGGGAAGCTCACTAAGTTAGTGGGACATGGAGGTGAAGCTGAGATGCTGCTGCTTCCCTCACTTTGGAAATACCTAATGGAAAAGTATGAATCCATCTTTGAACAGAAAAACTGAAAGAGAGAGAGAGGGGTGGGGGGAGAACCTAAGAGATGGTGCTGTGCTTTCATTCATCTGGTTATTCGTTTCAGTTTCTCGAGGCAGCTGGACTCAAACCTGCTATGCAGTTGAGGGCGTCTTTCAACTCCTGCTCTTCTGCCTCTACCTCTTGAGTGCGGGGATTACAGATATGTGCTGCCACACCCTGTTAAAGCACATGTTGGAGTGTGGTCACCTGAGGTGTCAGTCCAGCTAAAGGGCTGAAAGTAGCAAGTAGGGAAAGGACTGACTGAAAACAAGAGAGTCAAAGAAATGTCTTAGAGTTGAATACTTAATGGTTAATGGGACATTTATGTGAACTTTATTATCCTCATAAAGCAAAGAGCTAATTATCTTTGTTTTGGTCTATTTTTCTTCCAGGCTGACTTAGATGCTGGAAGACCACCAAGACCAGAAGTGACAGTCACCAGCCCTCAAGAAAATGACGAGAATGAACAGAACAAAGACTCTTCTGCTGTGGCGTAGATGGTTTTAGAGCAGGAAATACAAGGGATGTAAGAGCATGCAGGGCTGTAATACTTGAATAATGAACATGGCCTCTCTGTTAGGCAGAATGTGGCAATATGGTGGGGCACTACCTGCTGAATTTTAAAAATAGAAGCTAAATGGAAGGAAGGTTAGGTAATTTGTAGCTCAAAACAGAATGACTTATGTTTATGTCAGATGTTTAAAAAATTCCTTTAGAAGAATCAAATAAAAGAGAGAGAGGGATTTGTACCTTAAGACAGTTAACTACCTGTGTTTGTAAGGAAGAAAGACATGGGCTAACTCCCATTAGATACTTTATTATAGACTTGGAAGCAAGAGTATTGGCAGCTTGTTCTAAAGCATTTATCTAGGAAAGTATAGGCTTTTAAAGAATTGGTAATAGGAAAGCATGTATTATGTTCTCAAAGGAATAAACTATTGATTGGACAAATTGCAATTTAGTTTCAGAGATGATTTGGAGACGGCAATAGATCCAAATTCTCTGAAGCTGTTGACATTCCTTTCTTCCTTTATCCAAGGTCCCCCTCAGACAAAGTCAGATCACAGTCCGTGCTGTCTTCTGGGGGTTGGAATGCTTCTCCAGGGCACTGGCAATTTTCCTCAGGTGTGTCTGCTGAGACACACTCTCAGGCAGGAACCAGAGAGTGAGATGTGGAAATCCTGTGACTTTCCCTAATCTGGTCTGTCTGTACCGGAAACAAATCCTCTCCCCCTCCTATATTCTGTTGGAAACTCAATATTAGTGAAGATTGAATTCTTTCCAGTACTTCAGAAAAGAATGTTTTAATAAATGCCAGGAAACAGAATAGAAAACTGCAAAAAGATGAGTTTCTAACTACCCAGTTCCTTTGCTTTTTGCTATTCTATTGTCAGGGTTGCCATGGTTGCATAGGGTTATTCTGTCCATCCACCCATCCATCCATCCATCCACCCACCCACCCACCCATCCATCCATCCATCCACCCACCCACCCACCCATCCATCCATCCACCCATCCACCCATCCACCCATCCATCCATCCATCCACCCATCCATCCATCCACCCACCCACCCACCCACCCATCCATCCATCCATCCATCCATCCATCCATCCATCCATCCATCCATTCCTATCCCTCTCCTAACCTTTTAGACTTTCAAGAAGATGTTTATGTTTAGCCTTGTTTTCATTTCAAGCAGATTCTTTTCTATAAATTTATATTCTATCTGATGGAATTGGTGAAAAAACTTAAAATTTTCCCTGATTTCAGTTTGTGGATGGATTAAATTAATGTGTTTTCAACTTGTTAGGTATAGACAAAGGAAAAGATAGTTGCATTAGTTTGATAATCACAGTAGAGATGATGCATCCCTTCCCTAAATATAGAAGTATCACATATTTCTTATTTTAGAGAATATATTTTTACATGTATAGAAAATTTAAACTGGAAAATTTTAACTTCTTGTGCTTTTGTAAGATCCATTACTATTGTAAGTCTAAGAGACCATTTTCCCTCCAGATTTCACAACCAACCCTCTGGGATCAAAATAGTTGCAAGTTATATATACTAAAGTAATATAGAAAATAGATACATGTTTCCTCAGAAGCTATTTTGATTTTTCCGTAAATAGAAAATGCGAACAGAGCTTATGATGTCACAGTATTTGAGGGAGATCATGACACAGAGCTGGGAATCTGGATGGATTTTAACTGGGGCACAATCTGGGCTGTGCTTTCTCTGTGCAGGCTTACTTTCCCACATGTGACCTACAGCACACATGGACTGCCAGCAGGGAGTCAGAGAAGCCGGCCTTCTGATGTGAAATACTGGGATCTGAGGTTTCAAATACTTTGTAAAAACTGAACATAAGACATTTTAACTAACTCTCAGACTGATTCTCTTTCTCAGTGAAGGACATTTTTCCTTAACGGAGCATTACTCTTTGTTCCCACCTTTTCTCCATTTTACTCTGATGCTTAGGATCCAGGGGCCCTCTTGACAGCTTTCTTAATGAGGCACAACACTGATATTTTACATGAAAAATAAACTTTGAGGTTTAAAGAACATTTCAAGAAGGTTATAGGCATAATAACAGTCATAAAGTGTTGAAATAAATGGAGAGATCATTTTCTCCTGTGCATGCATTTTAATACCTGGAAACCAAGTAAAAATCATCTCCATATGTTGCCTAACCAAACACGTAATCGATTATTCATTGGGAATTAAAGCTGTACGCATAACTGAAGATGACCTTAACAAAAGTTGAAGGTCAGGTCACCTGTCAAAAGTGACAGACTCCTCTATGGGAATTGGGTACGTATGATAGGTTAGGTCCACGAATAAGTGAGACTTCCTGACAGATTTGGGAGGCATGCATTGAACATCTGAATGATTCTTGGTGAAGGTTCATGCATCACTCATACAGAGGGCACTTGGATATATACTCAGTATATTGCTTTGAGGTGTCAGCTTTTTGCAATTTCTTAGTTTTAATTTTATATCACTAATGCCTTGGCTGTATTTCAATTTTGAAGACTCTTTTGTGTAACATGAATGGCTGTTTGTTTGTGTTTCTCTGTCCTGCCTGGTACCCCCAGCTGTTTAGTCCTAGAGAAAAATCACACTGAAATCTCTATAAGTTATAATGCTGATTGGCCCGTTAGGTCTGGCTTCTTACTGGCTAACTCTCACATCTTGATTAACCCATTTTTCTGATCTATGTTAGCCATGTGGCTCAGTACCTTTTTCAGTGGGGCAGCTCACAGCCTGCTGCTTTGGTGATTTGGGCAGGAGTGGGAGGAATCAACTTCTTCCTCCCCAGAATTCTCCTGCTCTCCTTGCATCATTTCCACCTCCTGTCTGGTTTTCCCACCTACACCTCCTGCCTGGTCAATCATAAAACATGATTGACAGAATACAGACAATTCTCCCGCACTTTTGATCACTGGTTTGCTGGTGGAATTGGAACATTGGGAATTTTGCACTTGACTAGAAGTGGCTTTGACTGAAGTCATCTCAGTTGAGGGGTGTGTTACATGCTTGGCATCTGTTGAAGCCGTTACTGCATGCCCGTCACCTTCCTGCTTCTATTACTACAAGGCAGCCCCCGACTCACTGTGTTCTCCTAGAGTCTTGAAGACTTGTTATTTAGGATGTTTTCATTGCCTTTTATTTTCAATGTCAGAATGCCAGACTCATAGGAAGAGCATGATATAGTCATGCCTCCAGTTTTATTCTGAAAGGGTTCATTCTTGCTGTGGTGTCCAAACACACACCACACCGTGTGGTGTGGCTTAGAATCAGTCACATGTCTCCGTGGGTGCAAACCTGGGAAGTGACACTGGTACATTTTATGCTGTCTGTCCTAGGGTGGGACTCAAAACTCAGAAACCACAAACTTTTCTTTAGAAGCTGGCAAAATGACTCAGCAGAGAAGGTGCTTGCTGCCTAGCCTGATGCCCTGCACTGGCAGGTACACACAGGAAGTTTGCCCACCTCCCACAGCTAAATAAATAAATGTAAACACATTGTTTTCTCTAGACAACCTGCCTTATACACAGAGGATGAATTTCACTAATTCAGAGATCAATGTGCTTAAGGCTGTTACTGCAGTGAGGCACACGTGGCTGACACCTATAATCTCACAGCTTGGGAGCTGGAAGTAGAATTAAGAATTAAAAGTAACCCTTGGCTCCATCGCGTGTTTGGGGCTAACCTTTGCACCTTGAAACCCTGTCTTAAAAACCAACTGACCAACCAACTACCTGCCCACTAAAGCTGAACTTGTTTTTGCAGAAAAATCAGATGTGTTCATCACATTACCAGAAGGCAGTTCAACATATTCAACATGTCTTCTAAAGGATCTATTCTGTACTTTTGTTGTTAAAGTAGCAAAAGCGAAGTCAAAAGGTGAATTAATCGCTGAGTGGAAAGGTCCTCATCTGAACGGGTGTCAATCAGAACAAACAGAGAGCACACTGTAGATCCTTCTCAGTACTTCCACCAGAGCGGCTGTGCTCTTTCAGACATTGGGAAGGACCTCCTCACTGATGCTTGTTCAACAAGTCTCTTGTGTGGGGAGGAACGATGTCAACAATGTGAGAGCAAACATTGAGAGGACACTGTTGTCATGGTGTTTTAACATCACTCTACTGAGACCAGGACATACAATATTTTCTCAAATATGAAGGTTACCAGCATCATTTAAACTAGGCATGGTGGCACATACCCTTTACCCCAGTGCTCTAGATGTGGAGGCAGAGGGATCAGAAGTTCAAGGTCATTCTCAGCTACATAGTGAGTTGCAGGCCAGTCTGAGCTATGAGAGATCTGTCTAAAACAAAAAAGGAAGGGATGCTAAAATTAGTTTCAGTCACATTCTAAAAATTAGAGTTGTGTATCTTGTTTCCTGAGCTGATGACAGTCTATGGCTTGTGCAGCCTCCTACAATACTATGTGTACTATTGGGGGTGGGCAGGGATAAGATCCAGGACTCTGGCTTGTGTCCAGACACACAATGTGTCACCAGTTCCTGAAGCTTAGTCTGGTTTTCCATCCAGAGACCCCTGGAGTTCCTTGTCACTGTCATGTTCACAGGTCTGGCTTTTGCATTGTATGTTTTACCCCATGAAGTTTGAAAGACAGGGAGGGAGTGAAAAAATGTCCCTGTATGTTGAGGAGGAAGTAAATAATTGTTTTTGAATAGTCATTACACTTGTAGGATATCTGGAATTAGAAAATAATTAAAAATAATAAAGGAAAAAAAAGCACTTATAAAAGCCAGAGGGGACTGGTGGGCTCTGGCCTTCTAAGCCAATGACTGCCTATTCACTCTGTGAATGGAACCAAATAAATTCTGTGCAGGTTTATCCGCTTGAAATGCCTGGTTTAATTGACTGTTTCAGTTTTTGTCAAAAAAATGGGAGTGATTGTGATCAACTTTAGAAGATTGCAGGAAGCTCTGTTGCTTTTGTGTTTCCCTTGCATCTTAAATTGTAGACATGCACATAGTAATGGGTAATTTTTAATGCACTATCTAAAGATTAAATTAAGCTCATTATTTCTGTAGCATGTTTTATATTTAGAATGTCTTTATGTTAGGAAAAGTATGTTTTGATCAAATTATGAGCTGTAGCTTTCATTTCTGTATCAGAGCACATTCTAAAATGCTTGTGTACTCACCCATCCTGTGAGTACATGGGTGTTTTATACAGTTAACATACATGTCCAGCATTTCCATATGATGTGTTGTTACTATTTTATGTGTGAATCCCTTTTGTAGCATTTTCCAGGAACACAACAGATACACAGACTTATGTAGGCATTCAGTTCAGTAGAGGTTACTTCTGTTTGTGTATAGAATAGTCATTAAGCTTCATCATGTAAATTTTTTTTACAATTCCATATGCATGTTTATTTGATAAAAATTCAGATCTATTAAAATTGTTATTTCTTTATTTTATGAAATATCTTTAGAGATGCATAAGCTCAGAGGTTTTGTGACACTCATGACATGTATTTTGTATACAGACAATCACAGAAATAAATGTATAATTTTACAAAGAGTTTCACTTAAATTCATGTTGTGGGACTGTTCACTGCTTCCTTTTAAATAGTTTTGTTTTCCCCTCCACAATTAAGAAACAGGCAGTTAAGCACATCCCTATGAGCACAGAGCTTGTACTGAGCACCTCTCGGACACATTAACTCACCGTGGTCATCCCACTGGGGCGCAACAGCAAACTCCACCAGGAAGCAGGTGTCTAAACTACCAGAGGCAGGCCACTTTGCAGACACGGTTCGTGAACGTCAGAAACTCCCCACAGTGACACCAATAGAGCGTCCACAAGGCACTGCAACATTGCTTGCGTGTGTCTGTTGCGATACTTGTTTATGACAATAAACACAGCTCTCTCGCAGGCTTCCGAGTGGAGTTTTCTCCTCCTCTAATGGGGCT